CTTGGACGTTAAATTATTAATGGCCGCAACGAGTGCCAGATATAGCGATTGCGGGGGAAGGGCTGTCGGTTTGGGGATGTCTTTGAACGAGCAACTGGTGGCGGCTTTGGTCACCTTATCCTCGAGAATGCCTATAATATCATTGAACACAGCAAAATAAGCCCGCACAAATCCCCTGGCATCATTCTTTTCCGAATGCATATCAATTGTGTCCTCTTTATATAACTTCAATAAACTTTAAGAAAAAACAATATCCTATTAGTTGTGAAATTTGTTTCAATTCATTTTATAGCTTATAATTTAGTTACTGATAAATATCATTAAGAATAGACTAAAAGCAAAACGAATGGCACACCAAAGAAGTCTAGCCATAGTCATGGATGTGGACGTCTTGTTGGCCTCCACGAGCGCGTCCATCATATTCTCCCTATATTTGGCCGATTTCTCCACTTTTTCGTTGTACTCCTTCCAGGCGTCACATTTGCCGCTAATAATAGGCCCGCAAAACGTCTCATACAACGCCTTATTAGCCTGTGTTTGAAATATTTTGCCCAAAACGGCGTTCCCCGAGAACTTCAACTCAAAGTATTCGCGAATTTTGTTCAACTTTTCCGGACTTTGTATACAAAGAAAATATAAATTTAATTAATTTATATAATAATAATAATTCGTATCATTTAAAGGTTTCTCTATTAAACACATACTTTCCTTCGCCGGAAATCTCTTCGCATTTCATTTGAAAGAGTTTATCCTTAGGGCTGATCAGTCGGTTCACGTCGCCCAACACGAAAGCCCAGGCCAGGGATGTGTCCACATCGTCCTCCAGAGGCAACACGATTTTGTTGCATGGAGTGCCCGGGACACCTGTTCACACATTTTCGGTCTATTAATTACTGCATCGAAAAACTCGTAAATCATTGTTATATTTACGTAATAAGCATAGGGTTACGGATGTTGTAACAAATATATAATTAATTAATTGCATTGTCTTATGTATTAATTTTGCGTAAATACCAAAAATTAAATAAAATCAAAATGAATTCTAATTAAATAAATGACCAGGTTTTTATTTTATCATGCAGTAGTGGTAATGCTAAATATTATAAAACTAATTACAAATTTTCTCAAATATGTAAGTAGTTTACTATAAATCTTTTTAATAATAAAATTTTAGATCAATTACTAATAATTAGTATTTATTAATTATTATTAATTATTAATAAATATTGCTTGAATCAATTTAATAGTCTATATTTATTTGATTATGATATTGAAATTAATTAATCATTATTTTAATTATTTAATTAAATAACAAATAAAATAATTGAATACAAAATAGTATTTGCATTTAAATGTGAAAATTATAATAAAGTTATGAAAACGTAATTATATCCCAAATATAGCCCAAAATGCGATCACTTGTTGTCAATTGATTTCATGTTTTGTGTTTTGAATGGAAAGTAATTTTGTGTTCATTTGGTCTTAACTTTGATTGCATTTCACTATTAATACGAAGAAGTGATTCATTAGTTCCTGAGGATGGCTCACAAGAAGGCAATGACTGAGAGGAATGTGACCACAGATGAGGGCAAACAGTGAACAGGTATTAGCCATACATTCAAACATTCACTCAATTAGTGATTAAACACTAAAACCTTTGTTTCATTTCAATACCAATTATAGCCACAAATGTATGCAAAAGAATCTTTGGACCGATTCGGTGATGATTTGTGTCAACACTTATTGTCTTATTTGCCATTTGAAGACCGATTCCGATGTGAATGTGTGTCCAAACAGTGGCAAAGAGTCATATATGAGACCATCGATGAGATCACTATTGATAGCGATTTATTGGACAAAATGCGGACAACTTTTGGCTTAAATCGCAGAAATTTGTCACTAATTATGAGAAAGTGTGCAAACATTCAGATCATTGACTGTCTATTTGTGGGATCAGATACGAGACAAGTGTGTGAAGCCATCGCTGAGATGCTCGACAATTGTCTGAATGTCCGACAAATGCACTTCAATTTGGACCGAATTGATGACAATTGGAGACAATATTTTCTTCAAATGTTTGGTCCAAAGATTACACGAATTGATTGCATGTATTACAACGAGACGTCTTTGAGTGCATATCTCACTGTTTGCCACAATTTGTCTCATTTATCTACTCTTGGATTGGGTTCAGTGTTTGATAAGACGGGTAACCATTCATTGGCGAAGAATTTAACTAAATTTGAGTTCTCTTTGGACGACACGTTCACTCCACAAATGTTTAGCACTTTTGTGGCAAACAATAAATCACTCAATAGTCTCAGAATCGGTGGCATCTCTGGTGTCGATGAAGAAAATGGAAATCTCTTTGGAGTTATGAATAGTTTGTCACAATTACAAGAACTCCGAGAATTGAAACTCATTTTGAAATACCTTTCCAAACCGTTTGAGTACTCATTGCCTAATGATTTGCGCGAAATAGGCTTAAAGTGTCGCAAACTCAAGAGATTTGATCTCACTTTGAAGTCGCAATCACCACAACTGATTCAGATTCTCAATGCAATCCAATTTATGCGACGATTAAAACGTTTTGATTTATGGCTTCTTTTCCCCCATGAAGACGATGAGAAGATTGATTGCTATTTGCCGACTGATTCACTCAAACATTGGCCTAAATTAACACACCTTTCACTGGATTTATCGCAAAATGATTGCACACTGTATCGAGAGATCGGCGCAAATCTATTGAATTTGCAAACATTGATAATCAATTCACCAAATGGAGTGATAAATGGCTTTTGTTTGGATCTCATCACAAAACTACCAAAACTGCAATCACTGGTCATTTATAGCAATATAGACACAAATCTCAATGAATCCGAGTTAAATGCATTTATACTGAAAAGTAACCATAAATTGAAATTCATCCGGATCTATGACATGGAAGTTATGGACAGAATCTTTGATTACTACGATCAAGACATTTATAAAATACGAAATGAGTTGTCATTAAATGATTGAAACGATTAAATGAATGTACGCTTAAATTAAATAAACTCGCAAATCAATAATCATAAAATCAATTACGGTATATTTGTAATACAATACCGTAAAAATTGTATACAAACGATTTTGTTATATAATTACGTAATAATGAGCAAAAGTGTTTTATAACAAATAAATATATTTAAATATAATTCTTGTATTTATTACTTCTTATAATAAATTAAAATATTTAAATAGAAATCACATTTTATAATGTATATGGAATTAATTTATTTAAAAATATAATTAATATACGGTAGTAGAAAAATGTTTAAAATATGCCAAAATATAATAGAAAAATATGAATTTAAAAAATATTATTTGTTCACTTAAATTATTACCGCAATTAAAATATCAAAACTAAACGTTAGACTAGTTATGCGTTGTCATAAGCACCGGGCGACTGAAGGGCGCGATTATGAGTAACAGGTTTATTGGTAACGGTTATTATCACTAAAAACACAAAAGTGCTGATTATTAGGTACACAATTTCCAGCTCAATGAACACATAGGAGTAGTTCTCGATGATTGGACCCAAAATAAACGGTGTAATCGCCGATACAGTGCCGTTGGAAAACACCATAACTGTGCTCACGGTGTCCGTCAGCTTACAGTGCTTTGCGGTCAACGCTATAATTGCTGGATACATCGCCGAAAATCCAAACCCTATACACAACACAAACATTAGATTCTATGAAAATATTGTTTAAAATATTATTTTTAGCGAAAGTATACCTAAAATAATATTTCCAATCCATATGAGCGCCAGTATGTGTGAGCCGTAGTAGAGAACAGCCATTCCGGCGATTATAATCAGTAA